AGGTTAGTTGAGTAGACGTGTGGGACAATCCACCACAGATTCAAAAACTGACTGTAACTGCCCAGATATGAACCACCTGTCTGCTGAGGAACAATCCACCAATTAAAAACAAGCCTGAAGTTTATGTGCCAATCAGGATGACCCATCATTCCCATATATTTAAATTTACCATCTGAAAATAACTGCCAGCAGCTTTCAGTGTGACTGCATTAAATACTGACATACTGTTATTTTGTGACAAATCCCAGTCATATCTGCCTGGTGCACCTGTTGAAAAAAAGTTTCTAAATCAAGGAGGGTGCTGAGGACTTCCTACACAACAGTGTGTTTTTTATGTTCCTGATGTCAAAAATGTGATTGCATGAGCAGTTTAAAAAGTAGGGTCTTCCCTGCTGTTGAGACTAAATCCACTGAAAATACAATGTATTTTTTATGCTCTATGCTTCAGTTACAAGGTGCATCTTCTACTTGGATCCACACAGTTCAAAATGTTTGCATCGTTTGAAAGACGACAATGGTCCTACGTTGTGAAGGTAAAACGATGTCTGTAGAGTGAAAACTGGAAACTGCAACAGTTTTTCACATTATATTTTCCATCAAATATCATATCATATTTGACCTCTGATCTCACTTTTACATTTCACATCTGCCTATCTTTCAAGTTTACCTGAAGATTTGTTGTTTTTACTGCACTTCAAACTTCCTAAAATACCTCTAAAGAGAAAAAAGTAAACCTGAAAAGTACATACTGCTCAGATAGTGAGCTGCCGTGGTGGAGGTTTGCGCTCTCAGAGCGCTTCTTCAGCATTCTGTTAGTCACAGGCCAATACGACGACTCTCCACTAGGTGGAGCTGGTGGGCTTTATTCCGGCGCTCACAGGAGAAGAAGAATGAACCTTAACTCTTCCTGTAGAAGAGGACAGAGCAGGACACTGAACTAAATGTTTATTTTTGATACTAAAATCGCCCAGTCAGGGAAGGTGACAGTGTCTGGGGCCGATGTTGACGCTCAGGTGCGTTTTCGGATCATCTGCAAAGTTTCTGGTCTCGTTCCCAGCTTTGAGACACAACACCAGGCTGCAAAACAGGTATGTTGTTGCTGTTGTTGCTGATTATTTTTACAGCTGTGAGCTAAGCAAAGTGTCATGAAGTTGCAAATTTTGGGTTATGTCAGCAAATAAGAGCATAAAAACTTGAAGAGTTGGTTCAAATACTGATTTATTTGTAGGTTTTGTTTTACAGATGTCTACCTGTCCTTGAAAGCCACAGTGAGTGCAGTGAGCTGCAGTCAGTAACTGTATAACAGAGTAGTAAGAGCAGTAGTTAACGATCAGCTGTGGTGGTGGTTGACCTGAATGTTTTCTTCAGCCTGCAGCTGAAAAACAACCTCTTCTCTGCGCAGCATGTCCGGCTCACTTCACCCGCTGGCCGCTGTCTGTCAGGTGACAGCCACCCCTGACAAAGAGGCCAACTTCTCTGCCTGCAAACAGCTGGTGGAGGAAGCCAAGCAGCGAGGGGCCAGCATGGTCTTCCTGCCTGAGGGCTTTGACTACATTGGATCCAGCAGAGAGGAGACGCTGGCGCTGTCAGAGAGCCTGGCAGGAGGCACGATCTCAAGATACACTCAGCTGGCCAGGTAAACACACAGCCTTCAGGCTCTTTTATCCAGCGCCAACAATGAAACAAACTGGAGAGATTAACTTCTCACTAACTGCTTAAATGCAATGTTAGTAAAATCAGCTTGTTAAGGCAAAATGTGCTCTTGGTTTCATAGTGTGCATGAACTGGAGTCAGCTGGAAACGTGTGGATAAGTATTTAAATCGCTGTTTCTTTCAGTAAGTTGGAGTTGTGGTTGTCTCTTGGAGGATTTCATGAGAGGGGACACGACTGGGAGGCTGACCGACGGATCTACAACAGTCACATCATAATTAACGATAGAGGTGCTTTCCGCTGTCTGCCCTCCCTCCCTCCCCGTCTCTGTTTAAAACCCCTTTAAAATAAATCAAGTTCATTCACGCTGACACGCTGTCGTTTCCTCCACAGGTGACATCGTTTCAGTCTACAGGAAGTCCCACTTGTTCGATGTGGAGCTGCCAGAAAAAGGCGTGTCCCTCAAAGAAAGCGCTTTCACCATTCCTGGACCCTCCCTCGTGGCCCCGGTCCAGACTCCAATCGGAAAGGTGTCACTTTAAGAGATTTTAAACGTGCAAGTTAATTTTAATTCCTCTTATTAGATTAAACATTTAGGGGTTTAAATGTAAGCTAAGGTTGCTATAATCATGGGAATCCAGTCAGAATGCAAAAGAAAGCAGTGATTCTGCAGTTGGTTTTATTTTACAGTCCTTACATGTGTGCCAGGTGAGTTCAGTTAAGATAAAAGAAACTCAGAGAGGAAATGAGGGAAAGATGACAACTGAGAAAAAAAGGTAAATGAAATAAGAATATTTACTACAGTTTTGACGCTGGTTTCACAGAAACTTGAAGTTTCTCTTTGAACATATGATGTTAAATATCCACCAAAAGTAAGTCAGGGTTATTTATCCTACAAGGTCTTGTTTGGACTACTTCAAAGATGATTATTTGCAGTGTTTGAAACACCAAAACACTGATTAAGTGCAGTAACATTAAGGTGGGCACGTGCCCTTTGTGTTTCTACTGACCCTGTGCTTAATCCAGGTGGGCTTGGGCATCTGCTACGATCTAAGATTTCCTGAGTTGTCGGTCGCCCTGCAGAGACACGGGGCTGAGATCCTGACATACCCGTCAGCCTTTACTGTAGCCACAGGAGCTGCTCACTGGGAGGTGAGCTGGCCCATTATAGGACAGCTGGATTGCTGTGAGATAAAAACCAACAGTGTCCATAAAAATGTCCCTTTAAATGCATTCACACTCAGGTGTTACTACGTGCCCGGGCAATTGAGACCCAGTGCTTCGTCCTGGCAGCGGCACAAGTTGGACGCCACCATGAGAAGCGCTCGTCATACGGACACGCCCTGGCCGTGGACCCCTGGGGCGAGGTGCTGGGTGACTGCGGGGAGGAGAAGCCAGGTTTGGTGCTTGTGGAGGTGGACCTGGGGAAAGTGAGAAGCACAAGGAGGAACATGCCGGTCCAGCAGCACCGCAGAGACGATGCCTTCTACCGCAGCCTGCCTCAAACCTGAGAGGAACGTGGGAGGTGTTTAATGATGGATCCACAAATCAGGATGTCTGTAACAGCCGGCAGAATAAGGTGTCTTTTTTCACTTCAGACTTCAAGCATTAACAGGAGATCAAAAAAGACATAGTTGGGAACTCAGAATCAACAAACCGAGGTGGTGGAAATTTTTCTTTCCTGTGTGGAAAGAAACCGTCAGTGTTTTTACATCAGTAGTTGACAGAAATTGAGGAAGTTCAAATTAGTTTTCTCTGCTCATGATGGAGAAATCTGAGATTTATTGATTTAAACTCTGAGTCATCAGTGTAGTAGGTCATCTTATTTCCAGTTATTAAAGCTCACTCACAGCCTTTTAGCTCTTCCAATAAAGAAAAGAATTCTAAAATCATCCCACGAGTCTGTAAGTGACATTACTCCTTCTCATCAATAGGTGGAGCTGTTGGCCAGTAAGAGCACAGGAAGGGAGGAAAGCAAAATCTTGCAGTAAGAGAAGATATTGTGAAAGATGTGATGAGAAACAGCGGGATTAAAACTGAATTGTTTTTCACAGTTAATTTATTAAAATGTGAATTATCTAAAAACACGACAATGTTTGTTTTCTTGTGTTCACTAATAAAAAAAAAACGAGTCTTTGCTTTTCTTCAGTGATGACTTGTTTCTGTCTAATGGGTCAAAATCCCAGTTCCAGCAAGAAACTTATGCATACAGTTAAACATGTAAAACAGCTCTAAATATGAATATTAATACGAGCAGTCATGCACTAAGGTTTAATACTTGTTGGTTTAGTTTTTTGAAATTGGAAAAAACAAAACACAGCATGTTTTCAGATCCATGTGTGTATCCACAAATCTTTGCTTCATATTTGGGTAATATTCTTGCCTTATTTATTTTTGTAGGACAAAGTGACCACACAATAAAAACCTGCATGCAACCAGAAACACACACAATCAAATAAAATCAAATATTAATTAAATGAACCTGGATGAACACATTCAAGAGGTGTAAAAAAAAAAAAAGAAAGAAAAAAAACCACCTTTATTCTCAGAAAGTTTTGGTTTTGAACACATGAATGTATGTTGTTTGTTTTTTTCTTAATTGAAGCCCAGTATTTTATTGAAGAACAGTTGACAGCGGAAAATCGTTGCAACTTCCAGCAACCTCTAAAAGCTTGAAATTCCTATTTTCATCATATACATGGCTGCTGTTAGGGAATACATATTTTTCTCCAGGGATCGGTGTGATTGGTGTTGGCTAACTATTCTCCTAGGCCAGTGTGAGTGGGGCTTTAACCAGACAGACTGACAGAAAGACAAAAACACTTTACTTTAAAGTTGTGTTTTATTTTAATTTTAGTCAACAAGCTTAATTTAAGGCTTTATTCGTGGATTTAATTGCCACTTTTTCCATTAACTATGTCCGATTATAGTGTGTCCGCCCATCCCAGTGTCATGATTTGCTCTTTTGAAGGCCTCAGGGGAATTCCTTCACATCTGGGACAAAGTTCACTCAGACTGAAAAATGAGCTGGTTAGATTTTTATGGTCAAAGGTCATTGAAACTTCACTTCTTTCCATGGAAAAGGGTTGTCAAACAAGTGGTCCACTGGCCAGAAATGATGACTGTTTCTGGTGGAAGTAGTTTGGACAACCATGTTTCTGCACACTCCTCAAATTTGGACATTTCACAGTGTCCACAGGTTTATCCGTTGCATTGCATAACTAAAAACTGATTGAAATGGTTGAATTTTGCGTGATGAGTTAGTCGAACAACACAAGTCTGTGCAGCAGCGCCTTCGGTCGTCTCTGTGTGTTCGGTTGCAGTGTGGGATGAATAATTGATCAGCTGGCTGCTTCCAGGCTGCTGTACTATCACAGAGACGGTGGGTGGGAGCCGCTGTCCGCCGATGTCCGCCGCTGCTGCTGCTGGAATATGATGGGAACAGGAAGTGAACGTCACTGACACAGGAATGGGACTGAAAAAAGGAAAACACCACCAGGATGAGGAGAATGTCAAGCTCCTCGGCGTAGGAAACTAAACCCCGGCTTCAGCTCAGGAAAAGGATGAACTGCTGCGTCCGAGCTGGATTTGAGGCATCAGGGAGGTACGTTTGCTGTCATTTGCGTGTGCTGAGGTGAAGGTTAGCCCGCTGTGTGCTGGAGAACAGAGATGTGTGTTTCATCCTCCGAAGCTCTCCGTCCATCCACCCGTCCTCCTGTAGCTGTCAGATTCAATGAACTTGGCTTCATTTCTCATCCTCACTGTCGAACAGGTGCTAGCGGGTTTGCTAGCTAGCTGTGGATACTAGCCTGGCTCCGCGTCGATGCCCCTTCAGTGGAAATTTACTGTTAGCCTGGCTGCACGTTTCACCGTGTTTTGCAAACAGTTTGCTGGAGTCAGGCCCTCGGGTTGCAGCTCAGGGTGAGTCTAGCAGGGGTTGTTGTCTTGTTGTTGTTTTTTTCTGGACCTGTTTGCCCTGTAATGCAGATGTAATAGTAGTGCACGCGCGGCTAACTGCCGAGCTCGTGTGGGTGCGAGAAAGGACTGTCGGTGCGATTCTGTTTCTGCCATGCTGGCTCTGACAGGGTTGTTTTTCCTCATTGGAGCCGAGGAAGCATCAGTGCGTCTGTACCTGTCCAGCTCTGGAGCTGAAAGCTGGCTTTTCCTTGTTTAATATCATATATAGGAGCATTTTTAAGTTATAACTCACTTACTAACGAACTGTCAGGGACTTTAAAAAAGTTGGTCTGCAGGTCAAGCACTGCATCTTTACAGTGGTGTTGTTGTCTTTTCGTGCACCAGATAATTCAGTATAATGTTATTAAATTAGGTTTTCTCTGGGGTGTTTTCTACAAAGTGGAAAATAAATTTGAAAACTGAGGAGTATTTTTTTTCAGGCATAATGCCCCCAAATCACTGAAAGTAGTAGCTTTCAAAAAGTGAACGTTTTCAGGCTTTCTGTGATGGGAAACTGGAGTTTTTTTGGGGGTTTTTTTTGTATCCTTGATCATTTGAAGTTGACCTATTATGCTGTCATGTGCATGAAGTCATAATTGTGGTCGCTGTTATTTATCACAACCATACAGGTCAGAATTCCAATACACTCATCATGTGCAGAAATATTATGGTGATTTTAAACTGTTCTTTTTCCAGGCTGGAATGATTATACAGCAATGAGTTTAAAAACAAATCTTGGTGCACAAGTTTGAATTTACTTCCGATTTTCTCAAATCCATTCAAAATTACATATATATGTAAAAGCTGAAATATATGCATACATTCCCACTAGTATTTGGTTAAATGTCCCTAAGCAAGTCACATCTCGATGCTTTTTGTAGTCATCAACAAGCTTCTGAATATTGGCTACTCTTCTTGGCAGAAGGAGTCCATTTAAATTGGTTGGTTTGCTAGCATGGACTCTGCTGTTAGGCGCAGTCCACAAATTTTCAATAGGGTTGAGGTCAGGACTTTGGGGAGGCCATTCCAGAAGCTTAATGTTAGCCTGATCGATCCAAAACCAGATCTGAAGTGTGTTTGGGATCATTGTCGGTTTGGACACCCAAATGTGTCCAAGTTTTATCTGTCTTGCTGCTGATTTGAGGTAAAGTTGAAGAATTTGGAGGAAGTTCTCCTTTATTATTATTCCTCCACTTTGTGTAATATACCAGTACCACTGGCAGCAAAACAGCTCCTGAGCATGATTCTACCACAACTAATGTGGTATGTTTAATGCTGACGAAGAGAAACGACCAGTTTTAGTTGATCACGATCACTAACAACAAGTTATTAAACCTTGGCCAAGTCAAGATAAAAATGTTGAAAAACACTACTTATTAATAGTTAAGTGAGTGTATGTATACTTTTGACTGTGTGTATTAGAGAAAATTCTAAATAAATTTAAAATTATTCAAAAACAAGAATTGGATGCGTCAGTTTCTTGTTCTTTCTTGTTTTTGAAAGAAATTAAAGATGTATGGTGGCAGCCCGGCGTTTAGCACTGTTGCCTCACAGCAAAAAGGTCCTGAGTTCAATTCCACCATTGGGCCAGTGTCTTTCTGTGTGGAGTTTGCATGTTCTCTCTGTGCCTGCGTGGGTTCTCTCCAGGCAATCATCCTTCCTCCCACAGTCCAAAGACATGCAGTTAGTGGGGTTAGGTTAATTGGTGATTCTAAATTGCCCATAGGTGTGAATATGAGTGTGAATGGTTGTCTGTCTCTATGTGTTAGCCCTGTGACAGACTGGCAACCTGTCCTGGCTGTACCCTGCCTTAGGAGAGCTGGGATAGGCGACTCTGATAAGGCTAAGTGGAAGAGGATGGATGGATTAAACATGCATGTAGATGTATGCTGTACAACCATTTCACAATGGAGAAAGGCTAGAGCCTGTCCCAGCTACCATAGGGCAAAAGGCGGGGTACACCGTGGACAGGTCAACAGTTTTAGTTGATAATGATCACTGCTCACATTCACACCTATGGGCAATTTAGATGCACCAGTTAACCTAACCCCACTAACTGCATGTCTTTAGACTGTAGGAGAAAGCCGGAGTATCCAGGGAGAGAACCCACGCAAACACAAACTCCACACGGAAAGATCCCGGCTTGATGGTGTATGAGTAAAAAAAAGTTTGGTAGAAAAATATTTTTAAGTGGATATAATATAGAATTTTTCAAATACTTAAAAATGTTTCTCGTCAGGAACATATAGTTATGAAATCCACCGATTGCATGGTTGATAAATCATGCAGTTTTTGGTTGTGTTTAACTTCCTGAACTGTAACGAATGATCGTCACAAATGACCTAATAATGATTTTTTTTAACTGTTTTTAAGCAACTTTCAACACTTCAAAAGACTGAATTCAAAATAAATATAAACACAAAAACAGTGAATCCCCACTTTCACAAAGCTGGAATTACAATATGTATTAATCAGTAATAATAATTTTAGATTTCTTTTAAGTCAGCTAAACATTTCTCCTATAAAAATCATGTCAAACACATGATGTGAAATTTGGGATGCTGCAGACACTCAGATATTCTGTATGATTAGTGATGAGCCTGATCATGATCAACATTCATATTAATATTCACTTTTATTCTATTCACGTAGCTCTGACACTAACTTGTTGACAAAGTGACCTTGACATTGAAA